TGCGGCGCGATGGCTCGGGCCTTCGGCGCTTCATGCGGGGAAAATTTTCAATCAAAATCTCGTCCTCCCCATACGAAATTTCACTCTCTATGATTCGCGCCGGGGGGAGGGTCTAGGAAAATTTTTTTGAGCCGGGGGGAGGGCCTAGGAAAATTTTTTTTGACCTGGGGGGAGGGCCTAGGAAAAATTTTTTTACGCTACCCCCGGACGACCGCCCCCCCCTTCCCGGTAAATATTGTACAGTCCCTTAGTTCACCTCAGTTCAGAGAGGGACAGGTACCTCTGTGGTAGCCTGGTATCTAAGATATTCGGCAGCTAAAATAAGTATCGGATGCCGGGCTACCTAGGCCTCTGTTGACTGTGTGCTGAGACTTTTCATTGAGTTTCTTAAAAGGTTTCACTAACCAGGTGCTGTTTTTTTCGCAGTTTTTAAGCTACACGACATTGAACCAGTCGCGGGGGTCAAGGAAACACGATGGCTAACGGAGGTAAGCGAAATCAGTTGCGAGTTTGGCCAGTACAATGTGTTTATGACAAGATGGTTCTCTTCGAAGAGTTAACCTATTTATGATATTTATAGGAATCGTTCGGAATGTTCTTTCCCTGAACTATAAAGCTAATGAAGAACACTGAGACGTACATACTCATTTACTCTTGTATTTTTCTATGCTCAGGATACAGCTATGACTCAGAATCAGACCTAGAGTGGACGGATGGACTAGATCTAGAAGAGGTGCGTTGTGATATACCAACACCATGCATACACACACTTGATCTTTGCTCACGCAACAGATCGGTACCGGTGATACTACAGCATCCATTATATGGTTGCCACATATAGAAAGATCCTTGCAAAATTCATTCAATGGCAGCGACTTGCTTTGCTCCGACTAAGATTTGTCAATTGACTATTAAACTTTTGGAAGATTATCCTGTGAAAGAAGGACTAGAAGAGTTTTAGATGACATTGTTGTGCTTTATTTCAATGGGTTATAATACAATCTGTTCATCTATCTCCACCATCAGTATTATGTAGGGCCAATGGATTGGTCGGATTGGTCTGAAGAAGAGCCAAGGGATTCGTCTGAAAAAGAGTCAGAGGACTGCCCTGGTGACGAGTCGGAGGGTCTGCCCGAGGAAGAGGCAGGGCTTCCGAAGTCTCCTTGGCTCGGACTCTACCATGGCCATGTCATCGAACGAATGATATCTCACACGCTCGGGAGCTGGTGCAGACACAGGGAGAAACCAAAGATTTACATCGTCACTCCTTTCATTGACGAGAACGGACTAAGTGAGTAACACATTTACCAAAAGAAACTTATTCCAATATCATTTGATTTAGTTTAGCATAACAATGAATAATGATACTATTTGGGCATATTTTAGGAGCATCTTGTCAAATCAGAATTATTCTGGAAACTATTGCGAGGTTAGAGTTTACTAGAATACCTTAATTAAAACATTATTGTACATGCACAGTTGAGAACACTTAGTGAAAGATGCTTTTCTTGACATGTAAGTTTATGTTGTTTGAACATTATCTCTTTATGTCAGTAATGATCAGAGATGCGATTGGAAAACGCAAAATCGAGGCTCTGTATACCCGAGACAAAGATGATCATCCTCTTGGATCTAAGATGCAGGGAATCCTGGCGGAAGAGACTTTCGTCAAGCTGAGAGTTGTTCCCCGCGAGATAGAAAACCAGAAGCACTACTACCACTGCAAGTTCGTCGCTGCCGAGTTTCCAGATCGTGTGGAGATTGTGATGACCAGCGCCAACTTAACAGCCAACCACTTCGGGCCCTGGCAGATAGATTCAGTACATAAGTACCAGGTTACGCCTGAGGCCTTCAGAAAGGAGTACTTGAAGAAATTGAACGAGCACTCAGAAGATTATAAGGGGGTAAGTAACACTGCTGATGGTAACTTGTATACCATCTTCGTATTTTGGTGTATTATCACAGCCCACACTCTAGAGCCAAGATGTGTTTTGTATTTTTTGGTACACCAGATGAACCCTGTAAGGTACGTTCAATGGCTTTGTTGATTTTGATGGTGATCGTCTTGTGTTTGTCTTTGTAGCCAAGAGCAGCGTCTGGTGGGTACAAGCCAGAACAACAGAAGAAACGTGCACCCTACGCTCCTACCAGACAGGTAGTTTGTTTCAAATGTGATGAAGAGGGCCACTACGCCGATGAATGTCCCCACGACTTCCATGCTTTGGACAGACAAGAGCAACAGACGAAACGTGCGCCCTGCGCTGCTACTAGACAGGTAGTCTGTTACAGCTGTGATGAAGAGGGCCACTATGCCGATGAATGTCCCCACGACTTCCATCCAGTAGACAGACAAGAGCAACAGAAGAAACGTGCGCCCTGCGCTCCTACCAGACAGGTAGTTTGTTTCAAATGTGATGAAGAGGGCCACTACGCCAATGACTGTCCTCACGACTTCCATCCAGTAGACAGACAAGAGCAACAGACGAAACGTGCGCTCTACGCTCCGACTAGACAGGGAGTCTGTTACAAATGTGGGGAACATGGCCACTACGCCAATGAGTGTCCTCACGACTTCCATCCAGTGGAACAGAAGAAACAACAGAAGAAACGTGTGCCCTACGCTCCTACCAGTAGACAGGGAGTCTGTTACAGCTGTGGGGAACATGGCCACTACGCCAATGAGTGTCCTCACGACTCCCATTCAGGGTACGAGTCCGACTGACTCTGAAAAGTACCCTGCCATGTAATAGTTGTTGGGTGGGCCAGCTATACTCTCTCCTTGCAGCCAAGGTCTGAACTGTTAGGATAAGTACAATTATTGGGGCTTAATCGCCAGGGTTCCTGTATTTCCCCTCCTATGAGGAGTAATATAATTCTATGCAGTGATATCTGTATACATCAAGACATCTTTGTATGATATCTGAAGACAAGGTGTATGTCTTAATTTTGCTTTTAGTGACCTCCTTTGTTAAACCATCTAATTGTATTAGTTTCATTTGTATTATCTTTGTATTCATTAATTCATTTTCAATTACTATATTTAGTAGTTATGATATTCACTCATGTATTAGTTTTCATTATATTTTCCGTTAATTCATTTTCATTTTATCATATGGATCTCATGCCCATCATTTCGTGGTTAAGGTAGGAAGGAGGAGGGACCTGTAAAAGCCCTGAAGGCTTCCAACCACCTCCTAAACATTATTTTGTTTTACGTATAAATTTCCTTACCTTTTCAATTTATTTTTTAATAACTGTGCGAATGAAATAAATACAAATACGGTTTGCCAATACGGTGGGAACGTGTACGTCTTTTAGATTTTAAACGGTGGTATACGTACCTGTGGTCTTGACCGAGTAACACCATTACATGACACAGAGGATCTATTATTATGAAATAATGCAACACACCTTGACGTGTAGTCATTGTGCTAAGTTCGTTCGGACGTTACCCTGGTTTGAAAGGTCATGTGAACGTAACCTTGAAAACACCTGTTCTTTTCAGGCCAGACGTCCAACTTGAATATAATTTAAAACGCTAGACCTTAGAAGATTGGCGACAAAAATCTCTTCCCTATATCGTATGTAGTCGTCACTCTCGTGTGATATAATTCAGAGGCAATTTCTTATCATAATTCATAGGCAACTTCTTGTTTGACCTCAGTTGTTTGTTCTAAACCTTCAATTGTTTGAAGAATGACCATGACTTCCGAATCCCCGATATTCGACCCCAACACTTCCCGTCATGGGGTGTTTATTACACTGCTGCCAGTGTCACATATCGGGTCAGTGTTTTGAAGATCACTAATCGTAACATATATATAGAGAGAGCCTCGGGAGTCCATTCGGCGGCTACTTTTCAAGGAATCGCTATGTTGTTCCTGGTTTTCTCGACAATTCTCGTCGTGGGATTCGCAGCAGACCCTCTTGGTAAGTTGACACGAACTTCTGATGATGTTCTGTTGTTTGTTTTTTAAGTTACGTACGTTGCATTCTGAATATATTGTTTTAGAACGTTTAACATGAAAATGTCATGTACAACGTTATCTTTCACAAAAATGCCATTTTACAGCAATCCGTACTAATAGTCATTGTTGATAAAAGGGCCCCTTACCTTGTGCCATCATGACATGTTGCCGTGTTCCAGAGCCGCTGGGTGCAGACGGGACCCAGGTGTCTGTGTCCGGGCTGTCGGCTGGGGCGTGTTTCGCTACTCAGTACCACGTGGCTCACTCAGCTGAGGTGGTGGGGCTGGGCTTCATCGCCGGCGGTAAGAAATCTTCTTACAGAGATAGCATGATAACACGCAATATTTTATCGAACCTCGCCAGGACAAAAATTATCATATATGGGACTACAATAACGATAAAGATTAAACTACATTGAGCTTGTATAATTCTGTCCCAAAATAACGAAGAAACGTTCCAAAGAATGTTTGTCAGCCTTGCCTTTTGAAATGTATATACTAGACAAAAATGGTTGAAATTTGCCCTTCTTCCCGGGACAGTTGTATTAAGATGTTACCAGAACGTTAAGGAATTAAGAAGCTAGCCAACACATCAGAAGATTGACTTATTGTCAGAGCATTTGGCCAATACAAGACGATTCAGCCAAGTTGAAGAAATTTTCAGTTCGAATAATATTAAAAGGTGAGAACTTCTCCCCCACGCAGCGCCGTACTGGTGTGCCCAGGGGAGCCTGACCACGGCCCTGGGCGCCTGTATGAGCAGTCCGGCCGGGATCTCAGTGTCCACCCTGGTGTCCAAGACTAACAGTGAGCCGGACATCGACGACCCGTCCAACATGCGGGGTGACCGGGTCTGGCTGTTCGGCGGGACACGGGACACTACTGTCAACCTGGGTAGGGTCAAGGTCACCGTCTTTCACCAAGTTGTGTTGTGTAGTCTGGTTAGACCATGTTATCTATGTAAATGCTGACGACTCTAGACATTCCTTTTTTTTTAGGTTGTATGTGTGTGTGTGTGGGGGGGGCTTAACGTAGTTAACGTTACATGAAACTTTTCTACTAGGGCGATGAGTTATGCCTTTCATAAATACAGGTAAAGGAATATTTTTCTCTCTTTGTGTCTTCGAAGACATCCTCACTCCGTGGTCATTAGCAAACGACGTCTATTCTTCTATCTTGTCCCAGGCTCCGTTCAGAAGACAGAAGAGTATTACCAGTCCTTCACAGACGCGGCAGACATCTTCTCCAAGTACGACATGGATGCGGTGCATGGATTCGTGAGTGCAGCCTTATGCATTACTTATATGTTTAAGGAACATAAATAAATTCTTCTGAAGACATTTTTCTCTTCAAACCACAGAGGTTATTCCAGTTCCAGTAGTGGTTGGACCGTGGCGGTAACGGTTACGTTCGTTTTTGTACCTGCCAAGCAATCTGTCATCGTAATCGGAAAGAATTAAGAAAGAATCGTGTGCGCTCTAATGCTTTATCAAATGATAAGTGTACGTATGTCCCAACCCGGAAAACTCTTGTCTCTCCTGTCTAGCTTTCCTCATTTTTTATTAGTTGTACCCCAATTAAATCGGACCTGAGAGAACATATGTACTGACAGATGTTGTTGTTCCCACACACCCCTCAGCCGACAGAAGACCACGGCCCGTCCTGTGGCACGACAGCGTCAGACTTCATCAACGACTGTGACTATAACGCCGCGTTCGAGCTTCTCAACCACATCTACGGAGGGTTGACGGTCAGTACTGACATCAAATGCAATATTTTACAATCGTTTCAAAAGCACCATCGCCACAGATTTAGCATTTTACGAATTCTCAAGGCAATGTTTGGCTTTCGATGTCGCGGACATTGTCAAATTTACAAGTCTTGTTTTGAATCCCTCAGAGGCCGACCCCTGGTAGTGATGTCGCTAGCAGGGGAGAGGTTGGTATCTTATTTCTCTCTCATCTTGCAACATATATATTGCGTTGAACGTCACGTTTGTCCTATCGTAGCAGTCTTGCCATTATTTAAACAGTACTGTTTGAGTATCTTAACTTAATTCTTAAGCATATTTCGCTGTTGGCATTTTCCCGTCAAAGCTGAAAACCTTCGACCAGAACGAGTTCATCCACGACAGCGGGTCCTCGGGGTTGTTCGGCCTGCCGATAGTCGGGAAGCGGCAGCTGCTGTCCAGCTGGACGGACTACCTGCAGGCCTCCGCTAACCTGTACTGGGACACCCTGGGCGCCATCACCGACTTCTGGACCGGCTGGCTGCCGGACTTCGGGACCGGAGACATCGATACCAGTCTGCCGGACTGGACTTCGGTAGGGTGGTCAGTCTTCTGGTCCGACAATTATCGGTCGACGACTATCACTTTGGTGATCGAATTTTACGTATACATGACAAGTCACATTTCTGTAGATCAAAGACGAAGACAAAATACCATTCACTCTAGATGTATTTGTGATTTGTAAGTTTTGTAAGCGATCGAAGTCTAAGCAAAATGATCGATGTGTTGCTTTAGGTGCTACCTGGTATGGGCGGTGGCGACACTGGTGGAACCGACCCTGGTGGGACGACCTGGAACTGATGGTACAGATCCTGGAACTGATGGCACCGATACTGGAACAGGAGGGACCTCTAGCGGAACCGGAGGGTACAGCATGGACTCTGAAGGTTTCGTGTATATCCCCTCGGGATGCAGGGGCCCTGACGCAAGTAAGATCCATCCAAAAGTCTCTCTATTGTGTGACAGGCAAGACTGCTTGAAAAATGGCACTTTATCAGCTTGTGGTGGTCTTCAGAATGATATCGATATTGCAAACTTCAGATAAAGGACATTGTTTTTTATTTCCGCAGAATGCAAGGTGCACGTGGCGTTCCATGGGTGTAAGCAGGGAAGGTAAGCCTATGCGAAGTTTCTGCGCTTTGTTGTTAACGTTCGTCCTACGTTTTGTAGACCTGTCCGCGCCATGTTACTGTTAATTCAGACATTCTAAACGGCCATTGGTTATCTTGTTGAAGAGAATGTATTTCTCGCGTTATAACTTATATAAGATGATAATCGGTAATAATTTGAATGTACAAAAAGTCTTGAAAATTTTAACTTAAAAGAAAATGGATATAATTGGCTACACCTTTGCGGAGGTTATGATTACCCATGATGCTCTGCCTGCCACAGGAACGCCATCGGGGATACCTACGCAAGGCACACTGGGTACCTGGAGGTGGGAGAACTGAACAACATCATCGTCCTCTTCCCTCAAGTCGTGCCGGACTACATCAAGGGGAACCCCAACGGCTGCTTCGACTGGTGAGCCACAAAATATAGGATATCTATACCAAGGCTGTTGTCTACGCTATTGCCCCATATATATATATATGAGATAGAAAAGGTACATCCTGCAAAACTGCTGAATGCGAGCCAAATAATGAACAGAATTTGAAGTAACTTACATCATTTGCATTTCTACATGTGACCAAACAAGAGTTTTAAAAAATGATAAGTGTGATGACAGGAAGAGGGATGTGGTGGGAACCAATCAGAGATTCTACATAAAGGACTAAAATTGAGCTGTGTTATGGGTGGCAGAACATGTATGACACTATGGAATTTACCATTACTACAGGTGGGGATACGAAGATGCCAATTATGGTGAGTTAACGTATTTACCCTTTGGGGTGAAGCTGTACATAGCTGTACAATTATGGAATACTTATTTCGAACAAACTATTAAGGTTAATTAAGACTCAATACTAGTAGTATGTAATATACATGTAGCAACTTTTAAGTGATTGTTATTCATATGTCAACAAAAACATCTTAGGCACATATGTATTTAAATTAACAGTCATTCAGTCTTGAAATGAACTGCCCTCTTCAAGTCTTCCGAGAATTTGTCAGTTTCTGACCCATTTTTGGTCAATCCTCAGCCACTAAGAACGGCCACCAAATCTCGGCTGTGTACGCGATGGTTCAGCGCTTGCTGCAGTAACGAGCAAGGTCGCTAGGGGACCCGTCAACTTGCCAATCAACCGAATAAACCGTTTGGTCCATGCAATGATGAAAAATGCTCTCCAGTCAAGACGTTTGTCATCATTTCTGACCACTAGCTTTAATTTTATTCTCACTTGAATTGTCTTATATATTCTAAAATCATAGAAAATTTAACAAAGGCTACCTCAAAACCAATTCTCTAGGGAATGCATTTGTGCAATTTTTGAAATTCTTTCAAAGCGATCGTAGTACTTACACAAATGCCTCCGCCCCTGAGGAGTCGCCAAATAAGGACAGACTACCCGGTGGACCAACGGAAAACTGTATTTTACGTATAGCACCATGATTTTAAGTCCGACCGTTGAAAAAGAGCTCAGCTAAAATCTTACTTGTAAAGAAGTCACACACGAGAC